CTACTCTTGCAGCCAGGCTCTTGTGGGTGACAGGGGGCAGAGGTGGGGACGGCATGGGCCCAGGCCCCCAGTCCACACCCACCTCAGCCAGGAAGCCCATGGGCGCCACCTGTGCAGGTCACCTGCAGCTGGAGGATGCACAGCACGTAGGAGAATGGAGATGCCGGCTGGTCACGTGGGGCCTCGGGGCCCTGGAAGGACCTGGCATTTCTGGTGATGCTGGAGCCCCTGGGACTCTCCATGGCATGTGACAGAGGACCCCCAGCTGCCTGTGGAGTCCGCTGGGAACTGGGTGGAGGATGTGGTGATACTGTGGCACTGAGGACAGGAGAGGAGAGGAGTGGTGGGGAGGCCAGGGACACACGGCTCTCAGGCAACATCCCCCGACAGCTCTCAGGTCCACTGGGGGCATGGCCCAGGCATGGGAGAAGTCGGCTGCACCCTAGGGTGTCACCTGCGATGGGCTTTCAAGGAGTCACAGAGCTGACGTAGAAATAGCAAGGATGAGTAGCTAGAATAACCAGCTGCTGGGTGGCCTCAGGCGGCTCTCTCAGCATCTGAGCCCATTTTCTCTGGGGGATGGGACTTGACACCATAAGGAGGTGGACATCTAGACAGGGTTCACGGGTGGCAGCCAGGTCCCTCAACTTCCACCAGCCTCTTCAGGGCTCCTTACACAAATCCCAACCCTAAAGCCAGGTACAGTGGCGCACATCTGTTATCCCAGCACTTGGGAGGCTGAGACAGGGGAATTCCTGCAAGGCCAGCCTTGGCTGCACAGTGAGACCAAACCATACCACACCACCCAGCCCTAAGATGGAGGCAAAGAGAGTTTAGAGACTCACCCAGGGGAAGGGAGTAGCTAGCTCTGACAGAAATAGCTACAGGGTGAGGCCCTTGGGACCCACAGGCCTGTCCCCAGCTGTGCTCTGATTCCCTCTCTAACCGGAAGCATCTTTGGGAAGCATGTAAGTAGTCCAAGGTCACAGCTGCAGGGATGATGGCCTGTCCCAGGCGCTCTACCACCATGGCATCTGTCTGTCCCAGGAGGGGCTAGGGAAGGGCAGTCACAGAAGTGCCTGGGCCAGAACGTGAGGCAGGACAGCGCTTGTGTCAGCCCCTGGACTCTGCTCCTACCCAACCTGCACAGTGGGACATCAGATGCTGCCCCACCTGCAAAGCCAGGCAGCTGGGGGCCAGGCCTGCTTTGCAGCCCTGCAGGGCTGAGCCTGGACTTTGTTTTCATTATATCCACAGCACTTATTTGCTGAGATGGGGTTCTGCTATGTCACTGAGTTGCCCAGGGAACTTAAGACCCTCCTGCCTCAGCCTCCCAAGCCACAACAAGCCTGGCCAAGCCAGGCTGTAGGTGGTTTCTTTCTTTCTTTCTTTCTTTCTTTCTTTCTTTCTTTCTTTCTTTCTTTCTTTCTTTCTTTCTTTCTTTCTTTCTTTTTTGGCTGGTTCAGCCCACTCTGAGGATGGGGCTGGGTCAGCATGTGGAATCTGGGATTGAACCTCAGTCCCCTGCGGCTACCTAAGCTTCCTAAGTAGGCACTTTAGACCACTGAGCTATCTCACCGGCCCCTGCAGGTGGTTTCAACTGGGTGAGCAGCCTCAGAAAAGCAAATTCACAGGGATGGAAAGGCCCACTGCAGTGGGTACAGCCTGAGACGGGGGGTACACACCACGTCCTCAGGAGGCGAGTGACCCTCTTTCCACCAGCAAGCCACAGCTGGAGTCCTGTGCTCTTGTCACTCACAGCCCGCAGAGAGGCCCTATGGGGCTGCACAGGAAGTGACAGGGACCTGTCCAGAAGGCTCAGCATGAGAAAGAGGACACCTTCCTGCACCTGGCAGTGTGGTGGTGAGCGCGGAGCTGGGACAGATCTGCCAGCTGTGGTGAGCTGATGGGTCGGTGGGATTTATTCATTGTTTATTTTGGGCGGTTTTGAGACAGAGTCTCCCTGAGCAGCCGAGGCTGTCCTGCATCTCTTGGTGGTCCTCCTGCCTCAGCCTCCTGAGTGCTGTGATTACAGATATGTGCCACTATACCTAGGTGAATAAAGCTCCAGCTCCTCACGCTGTCCGCTCACCCTCTCAAACTGCCAGTAACTGTAAGTTGAGGTTCCAGCTTGGGGGTGTCACCAGGTGGCCTCTGCTCCTCCTTGTGGCTCAGCTTTGACCACTTCCAGCAGGATGGGTCCCCAGCCCCACAACTCTTGCGACCTGACCCAGACTACCGGTGCCCAGGAAGGCCCTTGGAGCACCTGCACTGCCCTCTCTTTGGTCCCTCGCAGCCGCCCAAGTGCTCCATGGTGGGCTCAGCTCATGGGCAGATGGGGCTGTGTGCCTGAGGGACTGAGAGGGCCCCAAGCAGCCATGGCAATTCCTCAGGGAGAGGCCTCTGGTGCTCAGCATGTGGCCCTGGAGGATGGTACAGCCAGCAAGGGGGAGCCTGGTAGCAAGATGCAGCCGGCCTCCTCAGAGCCTCGACCTGGCAGAGCAAGCTTCATAGAAGAGCCTGGTCCTACATGGTGACACATGGAATCCTATCTGCTCCAGGCTTTGTGCCCAAGGTCAGGACCTCTCTCCTGGCAGTCAAAGATCTCACTGACGGATGCGCCCTTGAAGGCCTCCCAGAACAGCTTCCTCCAGGAAGCCGCCCTGACCCCACCTGCAGGCCGCCTCCCTCCCTCGTTTCCCACTGGCCTTCAGGGCTTTCATGCCCTTTCCAAACCTGATCACCCGTGCATCCTGAGTCCTTTCTTTTTTATGGGACAGGGCCTCACTACATAAGACCAGGATGGCCTCAAACTCACAGCAGTCCTCCTGCTTCAGCCTCCCAAGTGCTGGGATGACTGATGTGCACCACCCTGCCAGGAAGGACTCCTTTCTGACCCCACTCCTCAGGACAGGGACTCTGGGCTCCAATACTCAGATCTGTCACCTCAGTGAGAACACTGAATCTCCAACTCTTTCTATTTTCCTAAGAACACAAGAATTCAGCAAAGAGACACTTGCCATTTGAACCACGAGCTAAATGTTCACCTGGGAAATAAAATGTGATATTTGGGGTCAGGGAGATGGCTCAATGGAATAAGCACTTCCTTGGCAAGCTCAAGGGCCTGAGTTCAATCCCGGGTTCCCCCCACCAAAAAAAAAAAGTTACAATGTGATCTTCGGTGGGGCACAAGGGTGGCACCAGCTCCCTCTAGTTACTGCTCCACACATGCACGCCAGACTGTGGCCAGTGTCAGTGAGCAGAGACACTCGTGGACACCTCCACAACCTTCCTGTCTGCTCACACTTTCCCCATGCTGTGAGCCCACCCAGGGTCAGGCTGGGCCTGCTCTCTAGCAGACAGAGCCATGGCAGCCCAGGGCTGACGCGGTGACTATCTTTGTCTCCGCCAGCTGCCCCTGCTGGGTGGGGTCGGACCAGGGCCGTCAGTCCCGGGGTTCCCCTGCCTGGTCCATTCTATTTTTATAGGAGCAGCAGATAGAAGCCGGACTCTGGGGACACTCATTCTTTGCGCTTGTCTCCTACCCACCCCATGGTGAGAAAGGCCCCCTTTCCTGGTCCCCGCTGGCTCTCCCAGAGAACATGCGTGTGCAGTGGTCAAACACACACACACACACACACACACACAAACACACATGACCAACTTCTCCGGCGTGCTCAGGCCAGGAGGCCAGGCGCTGGTCTATATTTAGCCTAAGGTCCCAGGGTTCTATTTATTAACTTTGCAACAGATGCCAGGAGCGCCTACTACAGACCTGGCTCCCTGCTGAGGCCTCAGGACGCGAGCAGTGGACGCTGGCTTGCTGGGGTCACCTTCCACATGGCATCATCCTCGGGCTCCCTGACAGCCACACCAGGTGCAAAGCAAGGGCGGGGTGTGTCAAGCAAAGGCTGGGAGGCCTGTGCCTGGGTGACAACGAGGGAGAGCTCAGTACAAGGCGGTCTTCCAGAAGGCAGACTGTCATTGGCCTTCGAGGGATGAGTAGGAGTTTGACAGGAGGGCCTTTTCCATCTCATACACAGAAATTATGCCTTTGTTCACTCAATGGCTGGCACACACTGACTGTGGCCACCCGCCCAGAAAAGCAAAATCAGACCTTCACGATGACAAGACATCTAGCAACGGGTTACCGGCCAGACCCTAACAACAGCTGATGAGTGGAACTGCAGAAGCCGCTGAGTTGCTAGGTGTTTTCCCACCCAGAAACAATGAGGCGGATGGTAGCTCCCCATCACGCCCACGCAGGAAACCCGCGTGGACAGCCGTGGTGCACGTGTGTGGCTTTCTCTCGTACTAATACGCATAGGTCCACAGAACCAATTGCGCTGAGAGGCCACAGCTGAAATGCGAAGCGCCTTCGCGCGCCCACGCCCCAACCACTTGCCCCGACGGAAGCCGCGGCTACTGATCCGCTCTTCATCTTTCTGGGCACCCGTGGCACTGGCTTGCGGTTGACGCCTTACGGCACCCCGGCCTCCTTCAAACCCCACCACGTTCATTAGGAAAAGAACCAGGGTCTCCGGACCCTGCCTCAACTCGGAGCGGCCTCCCAGGGCGCCCGCACCTGGCGGGTGCCGAACGAGGGTGCCGGAGTCCCCAGGCCCATGCCCAGCAGCGCCTCGGTGATAAGTGATGGCAGATGGTGTCCAATCTGACTCGGACCTCTCTCAGGGCCATGCGGACTCGGTGGATCCGCCCTGACCTCGGGGTTGCGCAGCCCCTCCTCCTCCGGCGGGCGGGCGCAACTAAGAGGGGCGCTGCTTCGGTCCCCCTGCCCGACCCGGCCCATCCCTGGGCCGCTGCGCGCAGCTCCGCCGTCCACCGGCTCAGCGCCCGCGGGGGCTGAGGACCAGGTCGGCAGCGCCACGGAGCTGTCGCCGGGGTGAGGGGGCGCCGGCCGCAGGGGACCCCGGGGGAGCCGGCGCTGCGCCACCGGGACCTTAGTCCGCCCGGTCCCGCCCCGTCCCCGCCCTGCTCACCTCGCGCGCGATGCGGCTCAGCGCGTCGTCCTCCGCTGTCAGCCGCTCGCGCTGCGGGAGCCGCCTGCGCCCCGCGCCCTGCGAGCCCATGGCCCCGCGTGTCAGCACTGCTCCGCGGCCGCGGCGCCTCCTCCGTGCGGCGTCCCCGGGCGTCATGGCGTCACGGGCGGCGCGGGCGCACGCACGGCCGCGGGGTGGCGCGCGGCGCAGGGTCGCCAGGGTACTGGGTCCGCACGGAGGACAACCGGGCTCTGAGGACAGGGAGGAGGTGGCCTCGGCCCTGCCTCCATGAGCATCCCCAACGCCTTTTAGTGTATTCCAGCTTCTAGAAAGTCTGCAGTAGGGTGGGAGGTGCCCAGCGACGCCCTGCGATGCTCTAGGAACCCCGCGTGGGACCTTGTGGGTGCCCTCGCCCTCCGCCAGCTATTTCAAGAGTCTCAGGGAGGGGACTAGTGGCTGAATTGGATGCTGGGGAGAACTTCAGGTGGTGGGCCCTGGGGAGAGGGGAAAGGCCTCTGCAGCCCCTTTCACCTTCCCAAAAGTCAGGGTAGTGTGTCTCAGTGGACAGCCAACCTACTGGACCGCCGAGAGCCTCACCTGCCTGCTACTTGACCGCTGAAAGCCTCACCCCCCTGTTACAGGGCTGCCGAGGCCTTCCAGTTCCGCGTCCCTCCCCCACTCCAGGCTGGAGGCAATTGTAGGAGAAATCGGGCGGCAGCCCTCTAGAGGTTCCAGCCTGTGCAGAACTCCTTATCCCAGGCTAGGGCCAACCTCCAGTAGTTCTACTCTGGAAGAAGTGTCTGGCCCTAATGCCTGCTTTCCTCCCACGATCACTCAGTTTTCCTGCTGCTGAGGTGCGGTACCCCACACCCACAACACAAGGGACAGCAGGTCTAATTAGGCTCCCGGTTTAAGGGGTTCGGTCTATGACTGACTCTAAGATGGGAGCACCATGGCCGAAGGGCGGGGTGAGCAAAGCTGCTGAGGTCCTGCTGGTCGGGTGTAGAGAAGGGGAAGGATCTGGGGGAAGGGCCAGGGCCAGACACAGAGGCCATGTCACAGCTCCATGCCCCAACCCACACGCCCAGAAGTGGGCTTCACTGACACTGACACAACTAACGCTGACCTTTGCACTTGCTCTCCCGTCCTCCCTGTTCTTGCTTTCCTCTTTCTCTGCTCATGGGGACTTAAGGTCTCTTTGTCTTCTGACACTTTGGGTCTTCCATGATGACCTGCTGCACAGGGAGGGCAGGAACAGATGTGTCACACTCGTCTCTTCCCAGGGGACAGACTGATGAGTGCTAGGGCATTCAGAGTGCAGGGAGCTGCTGCTGTCCAGATAGGGCCTTCCTCCCTCCAGGGCTGGACAGAGGGGTCTGGAGAGCACCGGCCTATAGACACTGACCTCACCCTGCCCACTTCCAGGAAGGAGCCAACTTTCAGAACTCTTGGACCAGTGCTTATGCTCTTCACATGGCCCTAGGTGTCCAAACCCCTCAGGTTCAAGCCCTGTGTTCATATCTTCCTCTGGCAACTGTGCTCTTGGGCTGGGTCTGCTCTCATGTTACAATTAGATTTTACCTTTATGTAGTCATTTGTTTATTCATTGCTTGTATTTATTTGTGTTTGAGACAGAGTCTTGCTATGTAGTTTATTTAGGCTGGCCTGGGACTTACTGCCACCTTCTTGCCACAGCCTCCTGAGTGCTGGAAGGACAGGTGACCACTGGAGGCCATTCATTTAATTTGTGGTACAGGGCATGGAACTCAGGGCCTGGCACATGCTGGGCAAGCCCTCTGCACTGAGTCACCCCCAAGGCCCTCAATGCCTGCCTCTAAATGGAAGTGTTACCTCTGGCTGTGTTCGTGTGCCAGGCTGCGATCACAGAATAGCTCAGAGCTTGTGATGTGCATAGCCATGGAAATTCATTTCTCATAGTGTGGAGGCCGAGCGTCTGAGATCAAGGTGCCTGCAGATTCTGGGTCTTGCCTTACCCAGGCCTCCATGGAGAGCCCTCACCCACTCGTGAGGGTCAATGTGCACACATTCCAGAAATGAAATTGTTCTGACAGAAAAGCCCAGTGTCCTTGCTAAATGGTGTTTTAGAAGAAGAATATTAGAGGACCCCAATAACAGTTCAAGCCATGCCTCAAATAATACGACACTCAGTGACTTAGTGGATTGGTGACTGGTGGTCAACTTGTTCTACCCAGCTGACCTGAACCAGCGTGGTACTGGGTGTGGAGGCTGCCTGAGGGCTGTTGCTGGTAGCGTAAGAGGCAGAGCTGGAGAAGCTGAAGGGAGGCCATTAAGGAAGCTGTTGGGAGAAGCTGGCGGACCTGGTAGGAGCTGCTGGCTCTCCTGGGCTGTTCTGCTGGGGGACTGTGTCATGCTGGCTTTCCTGATGACCTTGGCTGTTCTTGTCGGAGGAGGAGCTCGGGACCTCCTTGTCATTGAGAATGGCTGCAGTTCACTTTGGGGGAGCTCTGGTCCTCACCTTGATCATCACTTCTTGGCTCCGCAGAGGAAGATGGTGTGTTGCTCGGCCTCGTGGAGAAGCTTGTCATGCTGGCTTTCCTGATGACCTTGGCTTTTCTTGTCACTGGAGGAGCTTGGGACCTTGTTGTCACTGAGAATGGCTGCAGTTCACTTTTGAGGAGGCTCTGATCCTCATCTTGAGCATCATTTCCTGGATCTGGAGGGGAAGATGGTTCACTGCTCAGTCCTGAGAAGCGTGTCATGCTGGCTTTCCTGATGGGAATTGAGCTTTCCTCATTGCTGGAGGAGTTCAAGACCTCACTGTTGCTGAGGATAGGGTGGTGCTTTTAGGGGGAGCTCTGGTCTTACCTTGAGCATCACTTCCTGGCTCCAGTGCAGATCCCGCAGCCTGCTGCACTGATCCTTCATCCCACTGGCACAGACTTTGTAGTTTCCACCACTGGCCTTCAGGCCTTCCCAGCGCAGACCATGCAGCAGAACTGCACGAGACATTGCCATGGGCTCTTGGTCTCCAGCTGGACTTGTGGGGGGCATTGTTATGGGCTCCAGGTCTTCAGCTGGACTCATGCAGAGTATTAAGATCTGGCCCTCAGCTGGATTCTTTGGTCTTTAGTGTGTGGACAGATCTCCTGCACTCTTGTATATGATTTTTTTGTGATTATACAATAATCCTATAAAATGTGTCCTATATTGTGTTGTTTTCCTTGCAAAACCCCAAGCCATGGCAGCACTCCAGAAGTACTTCCATGAGGCCCCGGGGTGATGGCAGGTACCTCTAATCCTACCACTCAGGAAGCAGGGGCAGGAGGATTGCTGTACCTTTGAGGCCAGCCTGGGCTACATAGTGAGTTCAAGACCAGACTGAACTGCATAGTGATATCCTGCCTCAACAAGAGAAGAAACAGGGCTGGGGAGCTGGCGCAGCAGCATAGGTGCCTGCCTGGTGAGTGCAAGGTCCTGAGTTCAGTCCCTGGTAGCAGACAGAAACAAATAAATAAAGGAAAAGAAATCCAGATGTTCACAAGCAGTCTGAAGATTCAGTGCAGGTTCCTTTCCATTTTATAGGACACTCCTGGAGGACACAGCCCAGGAAGACACTGGTACCCTCAGCGGGCACTGCTGTACCAGGACAAGTGTGCTGAGACTACAGTGTGAGTACAGTGAAAATCAGACACACAAGTGTGTCACGTGGCTTCTCTTATATGAATGCCTTGGCTACTTTCCCCTCATTGCTGGGACAAAATACCTGACGTCCAAGACTAGGAAGGAAGGCTTACTTAGCTCACAGTTAGTGGAGGTTTCAGTCCATACTGGGCTGGCTCCATGGCAGAGTGGCACGTGACAGAGGGCAGCAGTTCAGGGAAGTGGAGGACAGCGAAAGCAGCAGGAGCAAAAAGGGAGGAGCAGCAGGCACAGGCCTGTCTCCTCCCCTACATTGTACACAGGCTGCCACCCCAGGGCGGGTGGAGCACTCATCCTATAATCCCAGCGTTGAACCATGGATCAAGCACAAGCTCTAGAAGCCACCTATGAATGCAGGAGGCTTTGTGGGGACACCTAGACACAAACCATGACATGGAAAACCCAAAATCTATATAAAGAGCAAAATAAGTGACAGCACAAATAGGGAGGTCTTTTTCATGGGAAAGAGAAGAAGGGATGGAGGGAGCAGGGGAGGGGACAGAAGAATTAAGATGTGTTCTATATGGCTTGAATGCCCCACGAGGGACCTCGCTGCTGTGCGCTGCAGACAGGGACTAAGACAAATAACTAACAAAATATAAGTGAATTGCTGTGGCCACCCCTTACTCTCCAGCAGTTGAAGGCACCATGGTCCAGTCACCTTCTACACGTATGAGAATGCAGGGAGATGCTGTTGAGACACAGGGCTGCTCTGCCATTGCCTCTGTGTTGGGAGTGCCTTCCTGTGGAGCCGAGGAGGCTGCCCCTCCCCTCCCCCAGCTTGCAGACTTCCTTTGTGGCAGACTGGATCCAGATTCCACCCAGCAGGCTGTGTGTGGTCCTTGGGGACGTGGGACCCCTCCATCCACGAGAGCTTCTTTCTGGTCAAAGATGCCTCATGGATCTGATGTCCAGGCCCTGGACTCACCATGGTCACCTTTGGGCCTGGCCCCGAGCCCCTGCTGCTTGGAGCTGCTCCTGTCTGTGTCTTCTGTGGAATATTTCTAAATCAGGGAATCAGCCCACGTGGCTGTGGGAAAAACTTGTGGTCTCCCAGGACACCACCATTTTCCATAAGCTTTTGTTTGTTTTTGTTTTAAGAGGGTTTCACTTTCCAGTCTGTCGCCAAGACATTCTGAGAATGAGTGTCCACCTTTGTCCTTGGTAACCTTATTCAGAGCGCATATGGCAACTTCACTAATGGTAGATTATGAACATAATGTCTTCATAAATAAACACCAATCTTGCTGCAATCCTGCTGCCTCGGCCTCCTGAGTGCTGGCATAGCAAGCATGCACTACTGCACCCAGCTCTGTAGAATAAATCTTTTTGTGTGTGTGTGTGTGTGGTACCAGAGATTGAACCCAGGACCTTGTGCTTGCCAGGCAGGCACTTATTCTACTGAGCTATCTCTCCAGTCCAGTAGAATAAATCTTGGTGTTCACTTC